AATACTAAAAATGTGAAAACTGCTCCTGGCATGCTGACCAGAACCCTGATCTTTCCCTTCCTAAGGGAGTTTCCTTACCAAGAGGTTGACGACTCAGACCTCCACTGCCTTACTCTATCCGGTTTAATAAACCTTTGTGCTCATTTCCACAAGGAGACCACAGGAGGCATGTTTTATAGGTTACGACCGTCAATAACTAAAAGAAACTCCAGTAACATACATGGAAAGTTTGTCTGATTCAAGAAGCACTTACTCCTTTCTTTTAACAGGACTTTGTGATGGCTCAGCATCTGCAAATAAACTGAGTATCCCCCATACAAGCAATATTTTGGCCTCTCATTACCCATCCAGGGCACATGTTAAAACACAGGTCCTACTCAACTCCATACAACTTGTACAGAGGTCCTATGCCTGTGACAAGAAAAATAGTGTAAGCTGATCATAAAACAAGCATAAGTGACAAAGGAACATCATTTCTATTGATTTGCTTTCAAAAGCGGGATGCAGCTGTGAAACTATGATGCTTTTATAGGCGGCACCTAACAGCACAGCAGCTACGGCTGCCTACTGAGGAAGTGAGCCACTGAAACCAGCCACCAATTTTCTTTTAGACACTTGGCAACAGAAGGTGACAGAAGCGTCCTGAAATAGCCAGGGATCTGGGTTGAAGGGCCAGGGTTGTTGGCAAAGTCTACTGGCAAAACCTGTGCTCTTAACAAGGCAATCATATTACTTTGTCGTGGAGGGGTTTGCAGCAGGAGTTGCATCAGGTGTGTTTCTATGAGGAAGGAATGGCACCGTAACTTACGAGTATTTTGTTTGCTACTGACTGTGCCGAGTAGGGCAGCTGAGAAAATAAATGATGCAAAAATGCAAAGTAGCCCCTGACCTAAACATGTTGGCACGCCTCCTGCCAATGATACAAGGGCTGAAATAAACTTCCTGAAAAAATAGCTGAAATTTCAGCATCCTTAAAGGCCAGGCAGTTACCTGTCCTTTAACATTACAGGCATGCTCTTCAGAAATGGCAGAACAATTTTTACACACTGAGAGGGAGAAAAAGAAACTGGCCTTCTGAGTTGTGGAGACTCACTTTGATAGACCAAGATCCCTCTCCAGTGACACAGTTATTGCCCTAGCAAGTAGTACAGATGGTGAATATTTATTTGTTTCTCTTCAGCATTGTTCATGCTAAAATCACTCCTTCATAGCAAGTTGAAAAATCCAAGCATGCTAGACACTTAAGAGTCAATGACCAATGAAAAAAAACTAATAGCACTTAACAGCTGATGACTTTTATGAGCAAAGACTGTCCCACCTTCATCTTCAAATGATCCTTTTGCACTTCAGTTTGTGCTGTGATTCTGATACAGAACTCACTGTAGGAATTTTTTGGCCTCACATTGCCAACTTACCAATATAACAGATGAAGTGACCTCAGAAAGTAAAACACAACCAATAACCAAAACTGTTAACAACTGTTGAAAAGGAAATAACTGCAGGTGCTAGAGTTCTGACGGAGAACAGATGTCATCTAACAAATGTACCCATCCGTAATAGCTCCAGTAAGATGTTGCTCCATTTTTGCCTATAACCGGCTTCTCAGCCCCACATCTCAGACACCTTAGAACAGCTCCTGTGAATCTGACTAAATTAAATTGCCTGCTAAGGCAGGAGTGACTGGTAATTCAGTGTCTAGAGAAACGTGGCATATGCATGAGGTGAGGTAGAAGGGGTAGACCTGTTCGTGACATGCCAACTGAACTGCACTGGTAAGCAGCTGAGCAATCAGTCCTGGCACCACAGGGTAGAGACAGGTTTGAATTTGAGAAAAAACTCCTATGGCTGGTTTGACATGCCCAAATGCCAATATCTATCATCCTGATTTTAAGATTGGTAGGTAGAAAAAACCCCAACAGATATGCCTGCTTCCCTTAAGCTGCGGGCTGATCTATGGTTCTGTAGTGTCTGTATTAGATATAGGAAGCCAGAGGTCTAGGGAAATAACTGAAGCGTGAACGAAATGTTAGCAGCTTTGCTTTTTCTTCCTTATAATCTACTATCACTTCATGTCACTGAACCAATTCTCATACATTTCTTTGGGGGTCCAAGTGGAAAAAACTCATTATCCTTCAAGTCCAGCTGTTAAGAATATAGGATTATGTCGTATTTCCATCTGCAATAGAGCAGGAGTGTTAGCTCTTTTTGAAGTACGGCCAGGTGGATGCACATTTAATTGCCCTCATAGCTCCTCCTGTTTCAAAATAAAAACGTCTTTCAAAGTCATTGCATTTCCAGAACTCTTTCATTTGAAGTAAGTGACCTGGTTTCCTCAAACCTGAAGAGCTTAACATAAGAGAGGGTTCTACTCTGTTCCTCCCAGCCAAGAATGGCTTGTACATATTTATATAAGCAGCTAAATTTCACCTTGAAACCTGAATTCTAAAGTTCAGGAAGTTTAGAAAACGCAACAGGAGAATGAAGCCATCTTCTGACCACTGTTAAAAACAGAAGTAGTCTGTTCTGTAGTAATGTGCACGGTGAAAATATCTGTACTAATACAGTTATGCGCGTACGTTCACCCTAAGGCTCTGTACAAAAACCTGAGTAGCAAAATGCACGTGCTACATAGAAAAGAAAAAGTAGCGTGTGAGTAGTTTGTTCAGTCTGATATTCTAAGCTGTAGATAGCCACATTTTAGTATGTTTTTTACTCAGGGTGCTAAATACATATATATACACACACACACACACATACACACCCACACAGAGTCTACTCCCTAACGTTCATGTTTCACATCTAAACCTTGCACAACAAACTTCAGATGGAACTTCAACAAAATTATCATAATGCCTTAAAAATGTGGGGTTTAAAGTAGAAGTGGCAATCAGGTTCTTCATGTAACAACACCATGCCAGAAGACGTGTCTTAATTAATCCGAAAGATTATATACATTTGACTCCAATTGTCCAGCTGCCTTCAACCCATCTCTTTTCCAGCCTTAAGTCTCCTCTGGACGTGCAATTGTTCAATACCTGTGATCAACTTCCAGCATTTCTTGAGGGTGAACCACAGACTTTAATTTTAAAACCTTCCATATGAAGTACTGTAAAGACTATGCATACATGTGGTTGTGCAGACTACTTACCGTAACTACTGATCCAAGAGCAAAAATTGACAATCACTCTGAAGTTATCTCCTCAGGTTGGCCAGGACAGAGTTCCCTGTTCAAAGTCTCTCACTAAAAGTTTCCAACGCTTAGAGTGTTTAATCCTTAGTCTTTAGCTCCCCAGTTGAGAATAAGGAAAGTATAATCAAATAATCTTCAGATTTCTTTGTATTTCTAAGTGTTTCCTAGTGCACATTCAGCAAGCTACCCAGAGAAGGTGCAAAAAAACCAACCTCAACTTATATTTTGGCTTATACCGTATTGCCCCTGGTATGTACACCAGAACGCCACCACAAATCAAGGGAAATGCAACATTTCTTTACTGGTTTTGGCAACTGAAAAATTGCTGGACACATCTTGCTTGCAAGGGGAGGATAGGATTTATTATTTTTTTTTAATCATAACTGGTCAAAATCCATAAACAAACTTTAACTTGTTGACGTATGAGAAAGCTGTTGACTTTTTGGGAATTATTCTTAAAAACATAATGAAGGCAACATGGCATAGGAGAGTTGCAACTGCTAACGTGGCATGCCTGCCACTGATGACTAGCTGCTGTATAAAAATGCCCTTGCTCTCAAGGGAATAACAAGCACTCAACGTACTCTCTCCTTTAACTACGAGTGTTGCAAAATCTACCATCAACAAAAGTTATGCCTAGCTTTTCTCTGCTTGGAAGACATGTATAGTAGATTCCCACAACAAGTTACCAGCTTGGAGGATAAGATTTTCACTTTCTAATAACCAATATGAAAAAAAGTGTATCCAATTATATAATTTCACTCTAGGAGAAAGGCTAATTGGACACTTACAGCTTTCTTCACTTCTGTTTCATACACGAGCAGGAACTCTATCACTTTCAATTCCTCTGTATAATTCTTTTCTTGAAAACAGGACAGGAATTTGACCAGACATAGAATAAATCAGAAATTACAAAACAGCATGAAATACTGTTAGGATGGTCCTTCTGCTGTGGTGATGCTGTTATCAAGGAGGGCTGTTAGGTGAAGGAAGGTACGTGCTGAAATACACAAGACATGATTTATTGAGAAAGTTTATTTTATTGCTTTAGAGGTCACACCTACCTCTTAATTAAAAAAAGCTCTTTATTAACTTAAAAAATTACCAGAGCCAAAGTATGATATACAGATTTGGAAATTTCTCAACTGATCCCTAATTATGAGACTCTCTTATTCCCTTCTCCTATTTGAACACTTCCTTCTTGCTCATTATACTTTAGCAGACAAAAGCACAAATAGAATACTACATACCTTGTGCACTGAGAGATCCTGATTTTTCAACAATATTAATGCAAGGCTTTTCCATGCTCCACCAAAGCAAGGATTCAGTGAGATTTTTAGTGGGTTTGATAAAAGGCAAATACCAAGAGGTTTTACATGAGAGTTTTTGAGGGAGAAAAAGACAGATATTATTGAAATAAAATTGCAGATTACTGTTTTGCTAATATATTTGACCAAAAAATTACCTTAATTCAGTAATTCTTCCCAGGTACTTTGGTACTGCACTAATAATAGTATTATGACAAATAAGTGCAGCTCCTTTCGAAGACACGGTTTATACAGGTTTATTATCACCACAATAATGGTACAGCTCAAGTGTTCTGCATTCAAGTTACCACTGAGTTGTAACTAATTGGGAGAATTTTACTCACCCCTTAATACATACCTCCAACCCATTTGCACATAACAGATGTCTAGAACTTAGAGTGGCTCAGTCACAGCAAATCGGGTTTTGAATATATGGCAATATACGCAAGACAACTGATAAGCTAGATAACTTGCCATCCTGCTTTGCTGAGTAAATTTGTTTTATACCAGACATTCGCACTTAAATATAGACACTGCAAAATATTACAGCTCTTTATTGGTGAGGAACGCTTGTTCTTAGTTTCCATGATATTTAATTAAAGCTTGCTATTTTGCTGGAACTGAGACACCAAGGAAAGAACCTGCTCTGAGGCTTTAATTTGTTTAGTCCCTAGGTATGCTGCACTATTACTGGCTGTATCCTCTAAGAAATATCGGTAGTTTACCATCATGCCACAAGAAGCAGCAATGCCCCGAGGGCTTGTGTCCGCCATCCAGTTTATCCGCCACATCACAGAGCCATTCTGAAGATGAAAATTTGCTACTGGATTAAGAGCATAGCCACGATGTTTCTCTCCATACAAATACCAGGCACAGAGTCTCATAAATGGTGAATGAAGCACTTTAACTAATTTCTCTGATCTCACCCACTCGTTGTTATTTAAGAGTTTTTTTAGTGTTTCAGTAGTGGAGTCTCCTGTGATCTCAGAGATTTCTTGCCATTCTGATTCTGTAAAAAGTTCACTTCTTTCCAGTTCTTTTGTTTGTGAAGAGAGGAGACCAATAAGCCATTTTGTGAATCCCGGGATAGGTGAAAGAGTAGAAAAAGCTTTTATCTGAGGAAGTTCTTTCTGCATGCAAAAGGAGAGAAAGAAAAATAATTCATGAGTTTTGTCATGATTGACAATGAGAAGTTTGAGTGAAAGAACAGCTGATATCCTTCACTTGATGTCAAGCAAAGATTAGGGATTCTGAGAATTAACTGATACATGTAGACAAAAAAAAAAAATAAAAATCACCCTGCCAGTAATAGGTTAGTGACTAGAAAGCACTTGGAGAACACAGAAAATTTTAATGCTGACTGAATTACAGTCCACACACACAATCTATATAAAAGTACTTATGCAGTACTTACCAACACCACATTCTGGTATATCATTTTATAGGCAGATATAAACAAATACAATCACATGCCATAAAGAAGTTAATCAGAGGAATAAGATTTTTTTCTAAAAATAAACACACAAGTTTTCAAAACCTTTAAAATATCATTTATTTTTCATATGTAACTATCTTTTTTTTAAATCAAGGGCAGTTTATTATTTCTGTCTATTGTAAAATCAGAGGAGGTACAATTTCTAGATTTTAATGGAAAGAAGTATTTCCTGAAGTTCTTTTAAAGAGATTCTTTATACAGGCCAGCTGCTTTTCACGCTATTCCCAAACTGTAAACTACATTGACAAAATAGCAAGATAAGAAATACATACTTGCATTAAAAAAAATGATCACACAGTTTAGTACTTGTTTTAACAAAATAAAACTTCTACTAATTTATGAGTAAAAACTGTTCACTATGGAATCATGTAAAGCAAAACATACATAAGGAAAACTGTGTGTTAGTTTTGGGGCACACTAACGTGAAGAATAGAGAAGGTTGTTAAAACTCCCTGTCACTTGGAATTAACAAAAATTACACCAGTCAACCCTGCTGAAGGAGTTGGGGAGGCAAGGAACAGAGGGAAGACAGAGCTGAAGTGAAACAACCACTGTGTTGTTTTAATTACTGTTCATATAGGAAGAAGTGGTAAGAACCACGACATTTATCAACATTACAGAAGTGTCTTAATGTCAACAGAAAATTGTGTTTAAATGACTACAAAATGCTTTTTTTCTACTTTGAGTATTACCGAGATAACCATTAAAAAGTCATCATCACTCAGATGCTACCTTACAGCAGCAAATGTTAATGGAATGCTCGGTACTAGCTTGGTTGTACTGCACCTGCACTGTGGCATCGCCAGGTACTGCCGTGCCCCACACAACGCTGCCATCTGCGTTCTGTTTCATGAGGCTGCAGAAGCTGGGGAGCGCAGGGCTGGCATACCTCTGATACAGATTGGAGCCAAGCACCATTTCTAGTAACTCTGATAACTGGAATAATATTCAGGGGGTTCTTTACAACATCTTTTCCTTCCCAAATAGCTTACTGCTGTTCTGCTGGTTTCCAGCCCCACGATACATCAAGCAGCTCATATGTACCACCTCTTCAGTTTTGTCACTTATAATTGCATAAACTGAATAACCTCACTTGCTCCCTTTATCTGAAGTTCTTGGACTATTACACAGATATGTAAGTCAAAGAATTCTTTTTTTGGGACCAGAGAGGAACAAGAAAGACAGACCAAGTTACAAAGAAACACCCCATTTCATCTCCTTAGAGAGCTGGATAAAGCAAAAAGCAAATTATTTCATAAAACCACTCATTTCAATATTTTACTGAACAACAAAACCATTTATGTAATCAGAGAGACCAGGAGATCCTGACTGTTTTATTCTCAACACCTATAGCTACCATGGTCAAATAATGCAATACTAGTAAAGCATTGATCTCCTGTGACTTTTTCAAGTGTCCACTAAAGGACATGATGATACTTTAAGAGTAATTCTGAAGCACAAGTCTGTAACAAGATCTGTGAAATACAATTATCAAGTTTCATCACATGTGCGTTTCATAAATGAAAAAAAAATATTTGGAAATTGATGTGAAGAGATGTTTGTGGAAGGCAATTTCTGCTAGTATCTTGGCACCTCTTTGTACAATTTTAGAGAATACATTTATAAAACAAAGTACTTTATTAGGGTTGTGGTCTTACTGTGCACCACAGCTACAAGAGGCATGGACATAGAAAATACATTTTAATTAAAAGAATGCTTCTTGGAGTAGACAGTTCAGTCTTTTATGAAAAGTTTCCCCTCTGCTGTTGAAAAAGAGAGCAATGACCACAGTAATTAAAATAAAAAAAAATTGGGAACAGAAGAAATCAATTCCATTCACTTCAAAAATCTTTCCCTTCCCAACCTCACACTAAATATTTCCCCATGGATATAAAGACTATTTATCCACAAATCAATTCAAAATAACTTTATAAAATTTGAGTATAGACTCAAATGCACTCACTAAATCTTCCTTTGATCACCTTTCATCCACCTCCTTGTAAGGTTTCTGAATCAAGGAGTATACCTAATCATCACATTTGGAATCCACTTTTCTTTAAAGCAGCAGGATCTTAATTAGTATGGCAGAGGACAGCTATGCTCAGATGCCCCCCTTGTCAGCTACACTTTCCTTGACTGAACACAGCCCCCGCCAAAGACAACACCAGTAGCACAAAACCACACATTTCCTGGAGGAGGAGGAGGGAGAAAGATGGCACAGATGTGAATTTTTAAAGACTACTGGAAAAGTAACTTCAAGATACTTGTTCCTGGAGAAAAAGCTGATAGCTTTCAGTTTTGTCAAGATGGTATCAAACAGCATCACTTGCTACCTTCATTTCTCCATCAACACACCGAAAGCTGACCAGTGGTGACTCTACTGTGACCAGCAGTAGCTTAGCTGCTGAGACAGTCTGCTGTCAAGTAATCTGACCTTTTGCATGTCAGCTCTTACTGCTAGATGAATTTCTACTCAGAAGGAAGGGCCACAACTCCCTTCTGAACATTCAGTGACCCAGTACCCTTCTGCCTGTCCACACAATAATGATGGATGACAACTCAGCAACTGTCTAGGATGTGACAGACCTGTAAATGAATCTTAAGGTACAGAAACACAAACCTGTAAGCTATAATGAGAAGTACCCTTTTCATGTCAGCATCCTTAAGCAGCAGCAAGCTCCCCCCAAAAGGCACTGGATTTCAAAATGGGGTTTCATTCTTCTATGTCTTCATTCCCAGCTGTGCTTTAAGGTTCATCTTTAGTCCATAACACAGAGAACACAAGAGACAGCGATAAATTGGTAAAAGTTTTCAAATTAATGACCTATCAATGAGAAATCCTAGATGTGTTGCTAGAGGGAGTACAGATGTTGCTATTGTGCGGTGGGGTGAAAAAGAAGCAAAAAAAAAAAAACCCCAAGAAAAAAAGAGAAAAAGGTTGTTAGAGGCTATTTTCCTCTAGATAGGGATTCAAGGAACACAGGATGTGTTTCTTTTTCACCCGAATATGGGATTATATTCCTTAAAGGTTTTCCTTTTTTTCTAACTGTATTACTCATCTTATAAAAGACAGTGCCTTTGAGAATATATTGCTTAGGTCTCTTTCATGAATTCTTCACAGATGTTTGGGGTTAAAACCCGAGAGGGAAAGAAGGAAGGTAATGTTGAAATTTGAGAAGCAGAAACTCTTCTCTCTGCTAAAAGCAAAAGGAAAAAGTGATTGGACCAAGAGAAAAGGCTGCTTACCACAAAGTCAAGTCTGGAAGGGAAGTCTTCAGCACCATGTCTGCTAACAAAGCACAGTGTTTGAAACTAGTATTTTGCTGTTGAACAGAGCTAACAAACAGGGCTTTTCACACAGGAGCTGAGCCATGCCCATTGCTTCCATAGGGGAAGAATTCCCATCTCATCTCACAGCTTGCAGAGCTGAGAGAGTAACAATGCACCACCCACAATGAGAAAAGTGAGAACGAACAGTTTCTTCCTATATTCGTGTATTAACAAAAACCACTGCAAAGTTCAATGAAGCAAGTGACATTTTGCTTCCTTGTGATGTTTACTGCTCTTTGTTTATCATTCACTTTCAGAAGTGACCTGTTCACCATGCCAACCCAAAATACTTATCAGAAAGTTAGTAGCTCCTACTCTATTAATAACTACAAAATGGGAAATTGTGCATATTTTTTACTTCTTAGGACAGATAAGACATAGGAAAATGACCCCATTTTGAAGCTACAGTACAGACTACTACATATCTGATAAATGCTTGAGTTTAGGAGCTTATCTGAGGCAGCCATTTCTTGTAGAAAAATAAATAGATGCAGCAAAGTGTGCACATTTATGTTGTTGCTAAACTGATGTGCTAGTTTCTAAGGCTATTGGTGGAGATCCATTAATGTTTATTTTCTTGTCAGAAACCCACACACCATTAAGAAACAGCTGCTTATTTTGTTTTGGGGTAGATTTCTGGTTTTGGTCGTCTCTTAGTTTTTGGGTTTTTTTCATTGCAGAAGAGTGCAGATTTCTCCTATTATCCATATCTCATCTGAAACTGTCTTGCAGTCTGAAAGCTGTAGTCCAAGGTCACATTTTTCATCAATGAAAGCAAAGCCTGTTTTGGAAATTATGATCTCCCCAGGTCACCTAGATCAAATTAAGGTAGCAATTATCAACAGCCCAACCAGAAAGCTAAAATCTGCCGCCAATTGTTAAGCATTCAACTGAGTCACACAGCAGCTATCAGTTTTCTCCCCCAAATGCCACAGGCTATAAAATTCTAAGCAGTTTTCTCAAAGGCTTCACCACAGTTATCTGTGTCTGTCATCTACAGACTGAATTGCTATGATGTACCATCTACAGAGCTACAGACCATTTAGAGTGGCTATAAACACATTCTGAATTAAATGTCTGTCTAATGAGAAATCTATCTGTCTGCACATTCACCAGCACCTATCAGCTTGCTAGAAATGCATCTGTCTGCTTGTTTTCCAGCACCTAATTTGGGGTTTGTTTTCTTACTAGTTGTCTCAAATTGTTTCAGAATCCAATTCATTTCTGGGAGCACTACAAGCTTAAATTTGAGAAATACCAGATATTATTTCTGTAGTCTGCTCGCTGCTTTATATACATTAATATAACCAAGAGACTACACAGAACACTTATTCTCAGATTTGTACAGGGAGAACTGGGACCAAAGTGGTATCAGCAGACTAATGAATTAATCCCACTGCCTGCCCAAAAATAATCCAAGTAGGAGATGCTCAGAAAACAATAGAAGCCTGTTTATAAAACCCTTCTCAATTATTTGTGTAGCAAACCTTTGCCAAGCAACTACCAAAAAAATCTTCTGTTTAGGGCAGCATACCTTCTCCCAGGATGCCCTTTGTATGCAACACAAGCTACATCCCTACAGTCCTATTCTGATCTCCGTTATATCCCTCCCCTTTACCCAATTATATTGCAATACCTGTGGCAAATGCCAAATCATAATGTCTAGGTAGAGATTAAGGATTCAAACTGCTAACTGCGCATATATAAAGAGATGAAACTGAGGACCCATTCCTGTGACTCAACTTCATACATCCTCCATCTGCTTAAATTAGTGAAAGACTCAAAAGCAGGGGCCATTAACTTCTATGCAGTGCCTCAAACTAACAGTGCTTAACACTGAGGGTTGTAATCTTTGCCAGTGTCTCTACTGCTGCAGTTTTCCTAACAGTCCTAATAAAAAGCCATTTGCAAGAAATACTTTCATGAGGGAATCTGTACTTGACATTCTTTGAAGGTGAGAAGTGCTACCTACACATGTTCATGTTTAGCAGTGTATATGACCAGTTCAGGCAAATTAGGAAGCAGATTTCTAAAAAATTAAGCTCTATCTTAATTGTCCATTAATAAGATTTTAAGGAATCTGGTACTAACTGAATTTATAGACCTAACTTTAAAGTGTAGATACCTGCCAGATCAATGTTTCAGTACAGTTTTTAAAAATCTTGCCAAGTAAAGACTTCAATGGTAGGGAAAAAAGAGTGGCTATTAGCATATTTCTAACTTAGTGCATGCCTTTTTCTGATCTAATGATACACATTCATGACAGGTTCACTTTGGAATTTTCCTTATGAGGAATGACAGCTGATAATTCAGTTTTGAGGTTACAATGGCACTTACAAGTAGAAGTGTCAGAGCAGGTTAAGTTAAGGCAAAATCAGATAAAGGATTTTCACTAGAGGATAAAAAAAAAAAGTTTTAAGAGTTTGCAGTGCCTTGGGAAAATATGAATCAAATAACATTCTGCAGATCAAACAGATGTCCACAAAAGTTAACTCAAACAAATGGCAAGTTATAAAAGTGTATTAATCATCAACGATTCAAATATAATGAAAACCAAAATCCTCAATCCCTTCAAACAGTCTCCTCTTCCCAAAGGATTTTATTATCAGTTAAATTAAAGAGAGTCTCAACTTATGTAACCTGGAACACTTGGTGATTTAGCAGCACTTTAAATAAAGATTTGTTTATTGCAATGCCATGCAAAGGTTATAAAAAAAAAAAATCCTCTTCCTATCAGAGACCTCAACTATCTATTTTTACAGAGGCAGCTGAAAGCTTGCTTAATGAGATGTAATTCTTGACCCAAGATTTTTTTTGCTGAGGCTATATTGTTTCAGCTTCTGTCACCAAGTCAACTCAGCACTACTGCTATACCATTTGTCCCTTTTAAAGTAAGTGACTATAATGCTGCTCCAAAGAATTATGTCCAACCGGAACACAGACAACCTTGGAAAGTCCTTTCCTTAGACCTGACCAGAGAGAAAGAGAACACGTGTGCGCAATTAATGCACTGAAGTAGGACTTCCAGAATTCTGGGAGATGGGTAAAACCCACTGCCAAGAGTATTACTCATCACATGCCCTGCCTTTGCCCTCAACAATCTAACTTTGTAGAAACTTCACAGTGTAAATATTTTGAAGCTGAAATACACAGGGCTTCTCTCCACTGAAAGGCAAAATCCTCTGAGATGGGAGTCACAACATTTACAACAAAAGTGAATGACTAGGCATTATAGAAGTGCATCAAATAATTCTGGTAACAACAGTATGATGGTTTAGGGTCACTTCACAGATGTAAAATATGTAATGGGAGATAGTTCTTGCAGAATTCAAGACACCAAATTCAACAATAATACTTTGGAATGAAAAGGAAGAAAGCACGAAGGACTGGGAAGAAAGTGAGGAGAAAAGAAAAAATATTAACAACATCAAAGAGTGGGAGAAAAACTATTAGAGAACCACATCCATCACACATAAACACTCCGGGGTTATCCTTTATATCTTTTTTAGCCCTACAGTGGTACCCCAACAAGGTTTATCATCAAGAAAAGGAATACTGTAGAGACAATACATAGACATTGTTGTACCTTTAAAACATATAGATATAGAATAAATACAAATAGGCAGTTCAAGTTTTGCTACAACTACATAGTCAACTAAGTACACGTCCAATTCACCATCTAAAACCTTACTAATAACAGCACATTTTTCGTAACATCTTAAAGCAGTGTATGAAATTTAAGTAGGGAGGAAGACCACCTTTGGCACTGTTTGGCAAGCAATTAGCTTTCAATATTAAATAAGTTATTTAAGCTTGAGGCAATAATTTTACGATTAGAATGTATTTAAAGGCATCTCAGCCAAAGTGGTTCCTATTCATCACGTATTTGATCAACACTGAAGGGATGGAATTTACAACATTGAAATGTAGAAACTTTATCAAATGTATAAACAAGAAACACATCCTTCTGTTGGACACATCAAATTTTAGAACTTGTAAATAGGTTACCAAAGTATGGTATGTCTATTTTCCTTTATAACTCACTCATAACTTTTCTAGTGTTGTAAGCAATTTAGTGATGGACAAATACATTGTCAATAGGGTTATTTTATGAGAGCCACTCAATTATCCTGAAATTATTTTTCAGATGTGAAAGCAGATAACTCCATGAATTTATTCCAATTTCTCTTCAGTCAAGATCAGACATACGGCACAGCCTAATTATACCTGGACTACTGCACTTTAGACAATTAATCTAAATGCCATTCCAAAAGCAAGAAGCAACAAAATTCAGCCAAAATATCCATTAAAAATAAAATAAAAAACTTCAGGGCAGCCAGCTATGATTCAGTAGTTGACTAATCCATCATTTTGCAATAGTAGAAATTTGGTGCATCCAATTTTCAGTTATTTTTGTAAGTAGAACTGAAGTTCTAAATCACAGACAATTTTCCAGACATCATTACTAATCCAGATGTTGGAACAATGAATATAAACAGTAGTGATTATTACTTTTAAGTGGTAGCTTTATTAATAATTTAAGTAGTAAAGACTATTTAATAATGTACTCAAGACAGAAAAGTGACTGTTTCTTTCAAACCACTCTGTATATAAATTAATGAATTTTCATTCCTTTCTCAGTTCCTTGGAATAAGATTCTACAAGAAGTCATCCTAAAACTCGTAACAGTAATCTCATAGTGTAACCGATGTGTTTAACTTTTTTTTTAATTATAGTGATGGGATAGGTTGTGTATAGTCTCTGTAAACAAGGTGATGAGATTATTAGCAATAGTAAGGTAATGGTCAAATGATTGTGGTGTTAGTAATCAGACTTGCTGCTATGGTCCCTGTACAGCCCCAACCTAACAGGTAACTAATAAAAACATTTTAAGAATGAGAACCTGAGAGCTTGGTGGTACCATGGAGCTGATAAATTGTGTAGTTGGTACATGAGCCAAGCAATAATTCATTTTCTGTCAAAATCATGTCCTATGAGTGAACTTTGTTCATTATAATCTAATTATAATACCAAAACACACCTCCATTCTAAAAGCTACCTGCCTCCAAGGTACAACCATCCCTCACTGCGCATGCTTTCTGAATTTCTTTAAGTCTATAGCTTTAAAAACAAAGCGAGAAAGTTTTACACCAATCATAATGAAGTAACTATGTAACTATGTCATGTAATTGTAACTACGTGTGTTTTAGGAATATAAATGTGTATGTTTGTAGGCTAGGTGGGCACGTTAGGAAGAGAGATCCCCCATGCACCCCAGTGCTGAATAAACCAATGTTGGCTTTCTAAACTGCATTTCTGTTTGGAAAGTTTTTATTGCTGTCTGAGCGGTAACAACAGCATGCAATGATATTATATAAATTCATAGAACTGACTTGCATAAAGTAACTGATTCCTGTGACTTTCAAATGTTAAAGACTTCTTCTTTACTATATTGCAAGAAATGCCTGGGCAAAGAAATCTCTCTCCTTTTTTTTTTTTTTTTAATAGACATATTCAAGGCAAGCATGCAAACTGCATACATAACCAGTGGCAATTAAATATAACAAACAAGAAAATGAATTAATTAATGTATGGGAATTATTTTTGTTACTGGAGCAGCTGTAAGATTTTGAAAAATAGAACAGTCAGGTACAGTGAAGAGAGAAAACGTTGATCAGGGGCCTGGAAGGAAGCCTGTTAGCCTGCATTAACATTGCGCCACGTACTCAACTGAGAGAGAGTAGTCAATCATATAGCACACTAAGTTGCAAAATACAGCTATATTAAAGCTATCTTCAATAGCAATGTACTAATTTGACTTTTAAGCAACCTATGAACATGATTAGGCAAACACAAGTAATTCATGCAGCACATGTCAACTATGTAGCAGTATCTACATCTGGCAGACATTAACCAGTGGCAGAAAATGTTCTTCCAACTCTTCAAAGGTTGATCTAGTAAGAAGCTAGAGGTGTAGGGGAAGACATAGCAGCTCCTTGCCTTGAGCTATGACACAAAATGGAAACTAAAAGAGCAATGTAAGGGGAGCGCACTGGCCAAACAGCATCTTAAGTACACCCTAAGTACACCTACCTGCAGCTGGTTTACAACCCGTTTGATGAGGTGAGTCCCAAGTTCCACACCTTGCAGTCCCTGCTGAGTCAAACTGATTGAGTAGAAAATTGCTGTTGTAATTTTGTCTGTATCTTCTGTTTCTAAAGGCGGCACTTCTTTCACTATGGCCTGGGGAAATAAGAATTAAAAAAAAAAAAAAAAGTAAGTAGTAGTTATTATCATCAATATGGGGGAGGAGGCCTTTCTTTTCACCTTTCAAATGTGTTAACACTTTTCCCCACTGTTTTATTCATTATCCTCTGTGAGAAACAACAAAAATCTAATCAAAAAGTAGAAAGAAGAGCTACTTATCCATTAGCAAGTAAAGGAAATAATTGTAACGTGGTTTAAAATTTTCAGAAGTAATCACAACTGCTTTGAAGTTTCAATCTTACTTGCTATCTTTTCTTACATATTTATCTTTTCTTATTCTTATTGCACTTGAGCAAAGCCCCAAAATTTCAACTTACATAATACAGCAGATACACAGAACATCCCTTTTTAAGTACCGATTCTCTCATCTCTTAAAAAAATGAAACAAAAATAAATGTTCCCAAATTATAAGGAATTACAGATTTTAAAGAAGTACATTGCAATTTGAGCACTTTGCTGGGTATTAAATGCGTCATGTACCTGGATGCTGCTGGAGATGTCACTGGTTAGTGCAACATGCAACACTATCAATGGTTCTCCTGGGATTGCACAGTGAGAAAAAAAGTAGCATCTTCTATATGACCCAACTCGACGCTTCATATCAACCCAGTTTCTAACAGGATGCACAGCTTCAGAACTCAATGAGAAAATAAAGAAAAAAAAAAAAGGTAAAATTATATATTTTTTTCATTTAAAAATAAGGTCTGCTGCCAACTCCCCAATAAAAAAAGGAGAATCAGGCTGTAAGTGAAAAAAGTAAAATTCATCAGCAAATTGTAATAAAGTAGATTGTAAAGGCATATCGCACATCTTTGGGATGTGCTTATTACACATCTGAGATTTCACTTGCGCTTTCTGTTCAGTACAGGATATCCGATTCAGATGACTAAGTTGTTGAATGAGTCTGAACAGACCTGTAAGGAATTAGTTTTCCCAAGCTACAAAGGAGTCTGTTAGCACTCCCATAGTCATGTCTCCAACCAATCATTCAAAATATTCTTTCAATATGTAATAGATAAAAGTCTAGTGTGCTTGCCAAAATACCTTGAAGAATAATTAAATATTACCAATTATTTTTATTTTGAAAATTTAGCTTGTATAAGATCTCTTTGCCTCATCAACATTTAAGTCATGTACTTTCAGAACTCTTTAGAGATCCATAATTCTTCAAGCTTTTTATATAACAAAATGTCACCCAACATAACTTTGATTCAGTCACGTTCAACTTCATCACTACAACTTTGAGTATGTGACAGAAATTCAGAAATAAATGTTGTAGATTTTAAGGAACGTTTACAAAAACCAAGGTGCTGTCATCACATACACTTTACAAGTGATTCTGTGCCCCTCACCAATTCCAGTCAGGAAGGGGAGCCTCACTACATTAGAAGTAAAATATGCCAAGTGTTGGGTACACCATGCTGCATCAGACTTAAATACTGATTCTCTACCAACACTGCTGGTGCAGACTGAGGGGAGAAGGTGGCAGCAGTGATGGAGGCAGCAGCTGCATCTGTGGGAGGAAAGGGAATGCGAGAAGGCAATGCTGCAAGAGGCTGGGTTTGTAGAAGAAGTAACAGCAGCACCTCTGGGAATGTGGGAAGAGCAACTGAGAAAGTTGGAAGAAAAGACAGCAGTCTACAAATGCAGTATGCGAGCTAAAGGATCAAATTCTGGGACAAATGATTGCCTTTACCATTTACTTATTTCAGTTTTTAAAGTGTGCTCTTTAGTGTGTGAAATACAACTACTCCTTATGGTTCAGTATTGAAAAACAGCATCTTGAAAATAGTGGACCTGTGCAGCCACAAGAATTTCATCACCTTTTCATCAACAAGCCTTAGCAACTTTTAGCACTTACTCACTAATTTTCTGGAGTACTTCACAAGGAGATTGCCAAGTGACCCGTTCCAAGTTTAGGAATCCTGTGGAGAACCACTCAGAAAGCATGTTCTTTAGAACTCCATTCATCTCCTGCAAACAGAAGAAAGAGGGACTTAGCTGCTAAAGCTAGGTAGAACATAGGAATGCGAGTAAAGATAACCTTGATTATTTGAAACTACAACACTGGGAAGTTCAAGGAAACTAATGCATCTGTTTGAGAAGATTAACCACCTAATGGTTCAGCTTTCCTCACACAGGACTAAAACAATGAAAATGTTTAAAGACTATAGTAAACTGCAGACAGGGAAATGGAAGGTAACGCAAAACAATGTAGATGAAAAGCACACAATAAGTAGAAGTATTTGAGCAGTCTTGACAATAAGGCTGTAGTTGTACAGGTGCTCAGATTTAAATACCATGAAAAAATTATGGGAAATTGGATGAAAATTAGGACTTGAATTTCACTACAATTTTCCACATCTGAATCTCTTCTGAGTATTCAGTAGTTCATGCCTTAGGAAAACTACTGGTACTAGCTTATTAATATAAGAAAGCAACTCACCAAACTAAAATTTTCCAGTTCCTTATCATATTTTATTAGTCAGCTCTACTTTATTAAACATTTTTCCCATTGCTCTTTATGAGAAAGACACAGAATAGCTATTTACTCCTACACATTCTGCACCATGATTAACACATGGAACTTTCTACTTGTGACAGATCTACACAGCACACAATATACCTGCTGGAGGTGATGGGAACACATACAGGCACATTTATGCATCAGTAAGGTATAAAAATGCTTCAATTTGGAATTTAGCATGGATTTTACAACTCAGCACAGGAGCTGCACATGCCCACTCAGGATGATAAATTAGAAAATTTGAGTCTTTCAACGGGCAGCAGATTAAAACTGTAGGCTTTACAGAATCTTTCTTCTCTGTAAGTACGAAAATTTTTGAGCAAGAAAAACAAAAAGCAGCAGCCTAAGACTACAGAACTCAAAAATCACAACAGATTTGGAACAGTATGATACAGAATTAAAGTCAACTGTAATATCAAATCCTTTCAGAAACATTCCTGTAATAATGAATTTTATATTCCCTACTGATTTCCTGCTGCCTATATTATTACAGATTTTCATGTCTAAAATTCTTTGAGTTTAGAAAGCATTCTTGAATGCAGCACAGCATGAATACCCCTTAAAGAGAATCTAGAGCATTTTTTTTTCTTACATTTGTTTTGTATACAGGACAGTGTGATACCAGCACCAATGTACCAATAGCCTCATCAGAAACATAGGCTTACCTGAAACTTAATAACCATTTATTTAAAAACAAAACCTCTTCACCTTCTATACAGATCTTTATTAAATAGCCACTGCTGTACATAAAATAGCCAAATATTATATTCCAATGTACTTTAGCTTGCTACATTTAAGCAAAACAACAGAAAAAAAAATATGTATCTATGCAGAAAACACTTACACTTAAACATCTTTCCAAAGCTCAGATGCAGTCTCAGAACTTTCATGAAAAAGCAAAGATATCTCCTACTGCAACCTAACAAAGATGAAAGCTGTAGAGGTACTTGTCAAGAGACACACATCAGAGAGGGTTCCTGTTGGCCAAAGTAACTACTACAAGTATTCCAAGATCGAAAAAAGGACAGTTGCATTCTTTAATTCAACATACTAGAAAAACTAAAATTTTCAAACCCTGACTACACTTGCAACCAACTGTGATGAGATACTTCAATCTACACCCAAACTTAAAATTAAATTAAGTCCTCACATAAAAACTCCTGAAGTTGATGGTAATGACCACAGTCATGGAATTTGCAAGATAAATTCATAACAAATCCTGGCTCTTTTCCATACCTGAAGTATGAGTACCTGAGTCAATTTTTCCTTCAGTTTTCCTTTTTCCTACCTACTCCTTCCACACTTACTAAGTTGTGTTAGTGAAATATATAGGCTTTTGTTTGGCATCTATCTTTGTTTCTGCAGCAAAGGATACTCTGAGAATGATCTAGAAGAAAACAGCCATTCACCTGCATAGAACAATTCTGTCATGCATGAAAATTTTATGCTATCTTTACTTTTTTCAGTAGCGTCCTCCAATATATAAGAAAAGAGCTTACTTATTGAAGCATAAATTGACATATATGTCAAATAATGAAAATGTCAATTGCATTGTTCCCAGTACAGGGAGTATCCATGAACTCTTCCATGATGTCAAGTCTCCAAAGATTTGTAAATTAGGTTTTTGTTAGTCTTTCTCAGTAGAGCTCTCTTTCAGTTATACAATAAACTGTGCTGAAAGTCTTCTGCCAAATTGTACTTCTACCTCTACTTGTACTACCAGGCTGAACAAAGCCTGCATATGCTAGTAACAAAAAGTTGTTAAATGAATATGAAACTGAAATAATAAAAAAAAGAAAAAATGCACCATAAGTACATTTATAGGATAAGCAGTCTCCACTGGAAAACAAGGGAAGCCACATCATGCACGGCACCAGCATAAAAAGAAACCTCTGAACAAAATGCACATATGCGACTATCTGCAACAAGTACCACTGAAGAAGTGAGAGACGTGAGGGATCCCACTAAACAAAATCCACCCTAGGAATAGAGAGTCTTCACAATTCTTCACTGAGGCTTTGATTAAAATGCTCCTGCCTTCTCTGTCTCAAGGTAACACTATCCTTGGTAGGGATAGTAGCAGGGGCAGGTGGAGGAAGTAACATAATAGATGCCATTAAAAAGGACCAGATTAGCTACGTCAAAACTTTGCAACTAGGATAGTTAAGAGGGATGTATGCAGTATACCTTCCCTTGCCTAACCAACGGATCTACTGCACACTTACAGCAAGTCTGATGATTTGGGGGCCTTACTAGACACATATGTTAAATCTGTGCTGTCTTACTACCTCAAAATACTATTTCTATAATATGACATTACTGTGAAAAATGCATAATTACTGTTGGCTCAGGGCACCTCAACACTTGACTTGCTCTGACAATACATCACTCAACTGCATTTAGAGTAGCTGTAATCTATACTGGCAAAACAGTTTTTGCTGGTGCTTCTGGGCTAGCAGATTAAAGTGAAAGCAGCAGACAAAACAAGCTGTACCAAAAAGAGCCCAGAATTGTCTGCATAACAGCATCTGCAAAGAAAGAGCTCTTTCTGGCACAGCTAAGTCATGCAGGAATTGCATCTCCTGGGCAGTACAAGTGAGTGGGTACTGGCCTGCAGCCTCAACAAGGCTTGCATCAGCAAGTTTTATTGGAAAAAGCTGAATTTTAGTACTCTCTCACACACAGATTTGTCTTTTTTTTCTTCTCAATACATTTTTCATCTTGAATTGTAGAGGTATAAGCATCCTAAACAAATATATTCTGATTGTTTTGTTTCTTCTGGCTTTAAGGTACTTCCCTTGCAAATCCTTGTTTCTGCACAGCTCTGAAGTTTTTAGAAAACAACCATAAATCATTTTGGTCAAATATCCCCTGCTACAGTGAAAGTCTCCATCTCTTTCAGGATTGCTTGGTTTGTTTTCTTTTGTAAGGGCACACCATAAGCCAGAAAAATAAGCTAGAGCTGTCAGATCTGGGGTCAAACTAACAGATTCCTATGGCTCTCTTGTCATCCATCTGCTTTTTGGAACATCACTTCAAGCTGCAGTCTAGCAGCTAGGAGGGAAAACTGCTGATGGCTGCACTCCTGCTACTCATTATTTTGAACACACTGCTCTGCATCTATTGGCAGTAACACGGCTCAGATGGCAACGAGTGACTTGGGAGAAAGCCAGTTACACTACATGGATACTGGTAGAAGTGGAAAACATCGGAATCAGATGCATTTTGCTTCTTTGAAGCACCTCCAGGTTTAGCAAGCATGCTCCATACCATGGGACATAATGATGCCCAACTGAACTGCAGGCTACTTTTCAAGATGCAGAATGCATTATAGAGCTACTTTAGGTCCAAGATACAGCTGTATAAAAGCAATGCATTCATAACCAAAGAAGAAAGTGAAGCAGATGTGTTTTCAGTAATGTTTTTGGAAGAAAGGAATATTGTTTATGGAGAATTACAACTCAATTCGAATAATCTGTCTGTTGTAAATAATAATGCTTTATAAAACCACAGGGCAACACGCAGGTCAAAGAAATAGAATAATTCCAGTTGGAAGCGACCTACAATGATCACCTAGTCCAACTGCAACTGTGTATGTTGACAAAACTTCTTAGTGCAGAAAGACATAAACCACTTTATACTATCCAAAACTGTGTTTAATTTAAATCATCTGAGCAAAATGCTGGTTGTGTTTAATATCACAGTATAAGCTAAGTTTCTGAAAGGCTTGACTCCAGCGAGACAGTCTTGAGTTAGGTTCTCTTATTTTGTAAATGTAGTGGTAAATAAATTCTTATTTTCATTTCAGAGGCCTTTCTAGTCATAAAATTACATCTCTGACATTTCATTAAAAAGAAAAAAAACACACATTTATTATTCAGCATCCCAATTTTAAATTTGAGCAACAAGACATACTCAGATTAGTATTTATAATTACCAGCTATACAGCCGAATATAAAAAATTGTGATTTTATTTTTTTAATCCTGTGTTCTTGCTATAAGACAGCAAGTTACAGGCTTTTTGATTTTCACATCAGGTCCCTATTTATTGGGCAACAAATGGGAAAATTCTTCTGAAAAACTTATATTATTTTTTAAGAAAAACTGCCTCTCTGATGAAGGAACTATTTCAATTTCCCTCTCAAACTACTAAAAAATTAAATACCGCTTACAATGAAAATTCATATGCAGATATTTACAGAGAAACATAATATGAAGCAGCAGTAACTAACACTCCATGCATATCAAACAGATGGCTCAGTTATTGTCAGTTGCTGGTTAGATATCCGACAGGGCTACAAGAGAATTATTCTGCCAGCCTCACAAGAGTCGAGTTTTCCATGGCTTTAGAAAGTTTGAAGTTTTTAACCTGATAAGCTTCATTTGGGCATCCTGACTTACAGACCTATTCTGATACTGCCATGTGTTTAAAAGTGCCTTTGGGTTT